CGTTGACCAACAGTCCAATAAAAGGTAAAACACGCCCTACCCCCTCCTACCCCCTTCCCCCCCCCAACTTTAATATAACCCCTAAGTTTATTAAATTACACTTTGGCCCTATTTCTACTACTAAATAAACCCCCCCCCCTCCCCCCCCCAAATTCTTCTTCATTTTTTCCCACAAAAAATCAATCTTCTCTCTCAAATCTCTTACATTCTAACATTCTATCTATATTATTCTCTCAATTTTGTTACTATCAACTATCAACTATCAAGTGATAACTTTCATGTTTCAAGTATTTGGGTAAATTTTTGGAGCAACTTTCAAGCTTCAAAGTCTAGAGCTGAAGTTTTATGGGAAGATATGGATGATATAACAGGTTTTGATTCCTCTATTGATGATGAACTTGATTCTTATCTTAATCAAGGATTGGAAAGTATTAAAGACGAAGAAGGCAAGGAACAACTTTTGCCATGGTGGAGTGGGCGTGGCAAGGCTTTTCCAACACTTTCAATAATGGCCCGAGATATCCTGGCTATTCAAGCATCATCAGTAGCATCGGAGAGTGCTTTTAGCGCGGCAAGATTTCAAATTGGAGATCATAGACATGCATTAGCGGAGGACAGTCTAGAGATTTCCGTATTATTCAGAGATTGGATTAATTCAGAAAGAAAAAATCTTGGGTTTGAATTAACCACTAGGGAAGAAGAAGAATACAATGAGATACTTACCACTGGGAGCGATGACGGCATGGTCATGGAACATCAATCAACATTGCCAATTCCATTAGAATGTCCGAGAGATATTATTGATAAGTTACAAAGAAGCCATATAGGAGTTTACAAATATTAGTATGATAATTTGTAATTGGCTACTACGAGGTCTAGTTCAAACAAAACCCTTCCTAGAAGCATCGGAGAGTGCTTTTAGCACGGCAAGATTTCAAATTGGAGATCATAGACATGCATTAGCGGAGGACAGTCTAGAGATTTCCGTATTATTCAGAGATTGGATTATTTCAGAAAGAAAAAATCTTGGGTTTGAAAAATTAACCACTAGGGAAGAAGAATACAATGAGATACTTACCACTGGGAGCGATGACGGCATGGTCATGGAACATCAATCAACATTGCCAATTCCATTAGAAGTCCGAGAGATATTATTGATAAGTTACAAAGAAGCTATATAGGAGTTTACAAATATTAGTATGATAATTTGTAATTGGCTACTACGAGGTCTAGTTCAAACAAAATCCTTCCTAGAAGGTGGCTGCGTAGATTAGGTCCTTGTTGTAAAAACCTATCAAACTTAATAACGTGCCAGAGTAAATATGTAGGAATTGATTGATGATGATTTTACACTTCTTAATTAGTTTAACTTGAAGTTAAACTGAAACGTATAAAAGGTCATTAGTTGGTTAAAACTAATAATAGCCAGACCCCATCAAGGAGATTACCACAGAGAATTAGTTGGATATTTTGTTAAGCTCGGAGATTAAGAAATTGAAAATAACAAACTACATATCCAGAAGAAAGCTTAATCATTACATCAACCTACTGAATATGGACTAATTCCAATTTTAGCTACCAATGAGACCATTGGCTACATAATCATCCAAACAAAACATACAGAAATTAACCTAATTAATACTCCTCAACATCATCATCTTCGCCATCACCAGATTCACATCCAACTTCCTCATAGTCTTTCTCAAGAGCAGCCAAATCTTCCCTAGCCTCAGAGAACTCTCCTTCCTCCATACCCTCACCCACATACCAGTGGACAAACGCCCTCTTCGCGTACATCAAATCAAACTTGTGGTCAATTCTCGAGAAAACCTCAGCAACACTTGTGGAGTTTGAAATCATACAAACAGCCCTCTGAACTTTCGCCAAGTCTCCGCCAGGAACAACAGTAGGCGGCTGGTAATTAATACCGCACTTGAATCCAGTTGGGCACCAATCCACAAACTGGATGGTCCTCTTTGTCTTAATTGTGGCAACAGCAGCATTCACATCCTTAGGCACAACATCGCCTCGGTACATCAAACAACAGGCCATGTACTTTCCATGACGCGGGTCACACTTGACCATCATAGACGACGGCTCAAAAGCAGTGTTAGTAATTTCTGCAACAGAAAGCTGCTCGTGATAGGCCTTCTCAGCTGAGATCACAGGCGCATATGAAGAAAGCATGAAATGGATCCTTGGGTATGGAACCAAGTTAGTTTGGAATTCATTCACATCCACATTCAGAGCACCATCAAATCGCAGAGATGCTGTCAGCGATGAGATAACCTATAAATCAAACAGATTCACCCAAATCAATAAATCTATTACTCAATCTAAGCAATCCTTTAATAACTATTTAAAGTTTAATACCTGAGAGATGAGCCTGTTGAGATTGGTATAAGTAGGCCTTTCAATGTCCAAAGATTTACGGCAGATGTCATATATTGCTTCATTATCCAAAAGGATAGCAACATCAGTGTGCTCAAGAAGGGAGTGAGTGGAGAGCACGGAGTTGTAAGGCTCAACAACAGCAGTAGAGACTTGAGGTGAAGGGTAAATGGTAAATCCAAGCTTGGATTTCTTTCCGTAGTCAACAGAAAGTCTCTCCAGAAGCAGAGAACCAAGCCCTGAACCAGTCCCACCGCCAACAGCATGGAACACCAAAAAGCCTTGAAGCCCAGTACAGTTGTCTGCTAACTTCCTTATTCTATCAAGGCACAGATCCACTATCTCCTTACCAACTGTCACCGTATAAAACCACAAAATGCTTAGAAAATAAAACTCGCCTTTTATGTTAAACATTTGGGTGGAAAGTATTCATTCTTACTTGTATAATGGCCTCTAGCAAAGTTGTTAGCAGCGTCTTCTTTGCCGCTAATGAGTTGTTCAGGATGGAACAACTGGCGATAAGTTCCGGTTCTCACTTCATCAATGACAGTGGGTTCCAGATCTACGAAGACAGCACGAGGGACGTGTTTTCCAGCACCAGTTTCGCTGAAGAAAGTATTGAAGGCGTCGTCTCCTCCGCCAACAGTTACGTCACCAGGCATTTGTCCATCCGGCTAGACAAATTATCAAACACCAGACGGTCAATATCAACACACAAAAAATTGAACAGATTTTCGCCATAAACAAATAATCATAAAATTTTTAAAATAGAACTAAAATGATTGAAATAGAGAGATTAAAGAACTGACCTTAATGCCATGTTCGAGGCAGTAAAGCTCCCAACAAGCGTTTCCGACTTGGATTCCTGCCTGACCAATGTGGATCGAGATGCACTCTCTCATTTTTTGTTTTTCAAAGAAATTGCAGAGACCGTTGTAAAATAGTGTGTATAATAGATGAAATTTTATGACAGGAGTGAATTGAATAAAGAGGACTAGGGTTTGAAAGGAGGGAGTGTTTATATAGGAGGGGGGAAGAGGAGTCGGCAGATGGTATTTCGAAATTTGAAATGGTTTACAGCTGTGTTTGTGACCGTTGCCGCTCCTTTTTCGTTTTTCGAAAATTTTGAATTCCTTCATTCCTTTGGGCCTCACGGTACTGGACCGAGCTCATAAACACGTTAATAAACGTAGGCTAAAAATTGGTAGAAATGGCGTGGGGTAGCCACTATTTAAGGTGGTATTTATTTTTTATCCATCAATTTTAATGTTGAGCAAAAATAGCTACTACTTTATTAAAATTGATGTGAAAAGACATTTTTACCCTTTCTTCCATTGCTTTTCTTCTCAAACTCTCGCTTCTCTCTCAAGTTCGATACCCACTAGTTTTTCGTTTTCTTTCCAGGAGATATCCTAGTTTCAATTTCTAACATATTTTTCCTCTCAAATTCATTTCTCTATTCTTCCTTTCTACCTTCTTCAACCTCAGTCTCTATCTCTAATCTGTTCTCTTGTTCAATTACATGTATAGCCGGAAAAAAAAAACATGTATAGTCGAACAATGGAGTTTTCTGCTCACTCTTAGTTACCGTGTAATCATTTGAGTGACTACTACTTGTAATTTCTCATTTAGCAATAAATTCCCATTTTTTCGATTTAATTTGTAATTTCAATTCTCAATCACATTATAGCAGAATGGAAATAACCAGTAGCAACGACGCCATTACTACTAAAACTTAAGGACAATAGGTCCTGAAGTCTTGAACTTAGACTAACAAGCTCTAAAGTTAAGGACAATAGGTCCTGAAGTCCTGAACTTAGACTAATAAGCTCAAAAGTTAAGGACAATAGGTTCTGAACTTAGGATAAGAAGCCCAAAAGTTAAGGACAATAGGTCCTGAACTTAGACTAACAAGCTCAAAAGTTAAGGACAATAGGTCATGAACTTAGACTAACAAGCTCAAAAGTTAAGGACAATAGGTCCTGAACTTAGGATAAGAAGCTCAAAAGTTAAGGACAATAGGTCCTGAAGTCCTGAACTTAGAGTTACAAGTTCAAAAGTTAAGGACATGTAGTCCTGAAGTTAAGTTCAAAAGTTAAAGACATGTAGTCCTGAAGTCCTGAACTTAGAGTTCCAAGTTCAAAAGTTAAGGACATGTAGTCCTGAAGTCCTGAACTTAGAGTTACAAGTTCAAAAGTTAAGGACATGTAATCCTGAAGTCCTGAAGTTAAGTTCAAAAGTTAAGGACATGAGCAGAAGGGTATTTTCGTTCGGGCAGTTAAAGTTTATTAAAGCAGTGGCTAAAGACTAAAGATATTTTAAGTAGTGGCTTAAAAGTAAATACATGTGTTATTAGTGGCTAACCGTGCACTTCCCTCTAAAAATTGCATGGTGCGCCCTATTTGGTCGCCCCTTTTTAACCTGTAGCCACTTTATTTTTTTGTTTGCACTCGTACCCGCATTTTTGTTAAAAGCCTTTTAAAAAGACTATTTTGCCCTTCTTTATTAAAAGACTATTTTCTCTCTAAGTATACGCCAGTCCTCTACTATCTCTGTCTCTCTCTCCGTTCTTCGCGTCTCTGATTTGTTCTTCTCTGAAATCAAACAGTTTTCGTCATTCTTTTTGATTTTTCAACTGTTTGTTCCCCAATAACATTAGGTATAATCACAGGTACATTGCATTAACTTTTTGGGTTTTGTTTAGTATTAATTTTTACAATTTAATTTCTGATTTGGTTTTGATAGTCATGTTAGTTGAATGGTTTCCCTTTTTTTATTTATGATAAAATAGTTTCCTAGGGTTTACTTTGATTAGTGCATTAGTTTTACTTTTACGATTGTGTTTTTAGGTTTTCTGAACACGTGTTTGTATTTTTTATGAAAATTCCATAAATTCTTCAGTGATTTTTGGAGACGTCGAAATTTTTATAAATTTTGAGAGTTAAATAAATGATACTATTAAAGTGTGAAGTTTATAATACCTCAAGTATACCTTAGTTTTAGGAGCTGAAGTTTTGTTTCGTGTTTTGTATTTTTTGTTATATTTCTTATGAACTTCAGCATTATTTTGGAGTTGAATTTATGTTCTGTTTTTGTAAAAACTACAACATATTTTTGCTGAAGTTTTTGTTTTGTAACTGGTGAACTTCATCATTCTAGGAGCTGGCGTTTTGTTTTGTATTTGTTGAACTTCAGCATTTAGCAGCTGAAGTTTTTGTTTTATATTTGTTGAACTTCAGCCTTCTTACAGCTGAAGTTTTAACTGATTTTTTTAATAATGTTGTGACGTTATTTTTCCTATCTTTTACTTTTTTTGAACAGATGGCATCTACGAAATCCAAATCACCGGCAAATCCTAAAGCACCTAAAGATCCTAAAGCACCTAAACAACGTAGAATATGCACAGGTCCTTCAGTCCATGTTGCTCCACCTACAAAACCAGGGGATAGATATTATGAGTTTCGAGATTGGTATAACTGTCGTGCTTACTGGAAGGGGAACCACGATTTGAAGAGTTTAATTGCAACTTTCTTGACTCTTGCACAACAGGATAAGCTTAATAATGGTACATTTCGGTATATTATGGCTATGTAGAATTTCAAATGCAGCATGAAGTTGATTCATTATTTGTGTCTTTCTCGAATATTCACCAATGGTCGAGACTCCATTAGTTTCAAGATTTTTGGCCATGATGTATCGTTCACCCTTGAAGACTTTCACATTATGTCCGGTTTGCGGATCATAACACATAATGTTGAAAAACCAATTAAATGAGAGAGCAAGATTCTGAAGCGCTATTTTGGGAAGTCTAAGGGTGTGATCTTGAAGGACATTCAAGATTTTATGTCCCAGAATAAAATTCAAAAGGATGATGTGAATTTCAAACACATATGCGAGAGTGATGAAGATGCTGTGAAGCTTATGGAAATTCTTGTTGTGGAGTCTATTTTGTTTGGAAAAAGGAATGAATCAACTGTGCTGGAGGAGTATGCAGCTATTATTGAAGATGATAAGGCTTGTGCTGAATATCCTTGGGGTAATGTGTCTTATGAGAAACTCATTACCTCAATGAAACATGCATTGGACAACCAGGACAAATATCATTCAACTGAGTATACTGTTGGTGGATTTCCATTTCCGTTATGTGCTTGGTTCTATGAGCGCTTCCCAGATATTCGGGAGAAGTATTTAAAAGAGGGCGAGTACCTTGATGCCCCTCAGGTTCCCAGGATGTTACGTTATGTATGTGTGGGAGAGCCTAAATATAGAGAACTTCATGAGGATTAGTTCAGTTTTCATAGTGTAAGTTAATATTTTTTTATTTATTTTTGTAGTTATGTTAATATGTTGACGTATTAGTTTTATTTTATTTTCATAATATACTTTTTTGTCCCCAGACCCCACCTTGTGGGACTATACTGGATAGTAGTTGTTGTTGTTAATATACTTTTTTGTATTAAATAGAAATATCGTACGTTTAGGGTATTGGATATAATTCCTAATGTAACGATCCGGCCAGTCGTTTTGAGAATTTACGCTCCGATCCCCTATTAACAGCTTTCCTCGTGTTTATTTCTACTATTGTGGTTTGTCAGGAAGATTCGTTTTGAGTTACGGAGTGTTTTGGGACACTTAGTCCCTAAACGAGAGCTTAAACTTTAGAATTTAGATCATAGTTGGAACAGTGTGAAGACAGCTTCGGAATGGAATTCCGTCAATTTCGTTAGCTCCGTTGGGTGATTTCAGGCTTAGGGGCGTGTTCGAATTGTGTTTTGGATGTCCGTAGCTTATTTAGGCTTGGAATGTCGAAAGTTGAATTTTTGTAGTTTCCGATTGATAGTGAAATTTTGATATCGGGGTCGGAACCCGATTCTGAAAGTTGGAATAGTTTCGTAGTGTTGAATGTAACCTGTGTGCAAAATTTGGGATCAATCGGACATGGTTTGGTTGGTTTCATCATTGGTTGTAGGATTCTTGAAATTTCAAGTTTATTAGGCTTGGGTTGGAGGGTGATTCGTGGCTTTAGTGTTGTTTGATGTGATTTGAGGGTTGGACTAAGTTCGTATGATGTTTTAGGATTGGTTGGCATGTTTGGTTGTGTAACGACCCGACTGGTCGTTTTGAGCAATTTCGTCCGGTTCGGCAGTTTGAGTTCACGAGTAGCTTCATACTATGTGTATCGACTTGTGTGCGCAGTCCGGGTGTGAAAGCGGAAAGCTTTTATGTGAAAATATGAAAAATATAGTAATTTCTAGAGTTAAAATTTGATTTTTAGTTGGCTTTGATCAACATTTTTGGTAAACGGACCCGGATCTGTGTTCCGACGATCCCGGAAGGTCTGCGGTAAAATATGGAACTTGGGCGTATGCCCGGAATTGAATTCCGAGGTCCCTAGCCTTAGAGAACAATTTTTGAAGAAAATTGTTGTGTTGGTTTTTAAAGGAAATAAATAAATGAATTAATATTTGAACTCGTTGGTATCGGGCCCGTATATTGGTTCCGGAGCCTGGTACAAGTTTGTTATGATATTTAAGTCCTATCTGTGAAATTTAGTGAGAATCGGAATTGATTTGACGTGATTTGGACGTCCGGTTGAAAAGTTAGAAAATCATGAGTTTTGAGGTTAAATTCTTAGTTTTTGATGTTATTTTGATGATTTGATCACACGAGCAAGTCTGTATGATGTTTTCAGACTTGCGTGCATGTTTGGTTTGGAGCCCCGAGGGCTTGAGTGAGTTTCGGATAGGTTTAGGCTATGTTGTGCTTGTTTTTGGATGCTTCATCGTCGTTTTTTCAAACAAAAATGATAACACATTGAGCAAATGAGATCCAAATTCAGTTTTTATTGAACCATTAGATTCGTATCGCAATTACGGAGCCATAGGAAAAAGAATGATCGAATTTGGACATCATATGAGGAAGTTATGCTCATTTTCGTGTCAGGAAAAATTGCTGGTTTCTGGTGTGGTCGCAAATGCGAACTTCTTCATCGCAATTGCGATGCCCAGTTCGCAAATGCGAACTTTTTTTCGCAAATGCGACTTTTGCTAGCCCTTCCTTGTTCGCAAATTGCGAGG